AGTGAGTGGGGATATCAGGGACCAAGGGAACACTGTGCTCAGAGTTGATGCATTAAAAGCAGGAAAATTGGGTAAAAGTAAAGATTTGAGCATCAGAACTGGACCACAGAGCAACAGGAGGAGGTGGGCTGGTATGATGAAGTGGCTTTCTTTTAAATCTTGTGATTGCTGCGTGTTTGTGCCGTGCTTACCTGGGGACCATCTGGCATCAGGATGTACGATTTGAAAGAAGGCAAGCCGGCAGAGGCAGTATGATGCTCTGAGAAATGTTCTGCTGAGAAACTTTGGTTCCTGCCATCCATGTGGATGTTACTTTGACATTTACCACCTAACTAAGCATTTCTGCAGGCCATGCACACCCTTTCATGGAAACTGTATTCCCTGATTGCTATGGCGTCTTCAGCAGGGTAATGCATCCGCCCACAAAGCAAAAAATGGTTCAGGAATGATTTGAAGAGTAGAACAATAAGTTTGAGGTCTTGACTTGGTCTCCAAATTCCCCAGATCTCAATCCAGTTGCACATTTGTGAGATGTGCTGGATAAACAAGTCTGATGCATGGATCCCTGACCTCGCAACTCACAGGACTTAAAGGAACCGGTGCTGATACCACAGCACACTATCAGGTGTGGGATTGAGTCTGTGCTTTGACGGATCAGTGCAGCAGAAGGGGGGCAAACAGAATATTAGAGGTAGTCATAATGTTGTGCCAGATCATTATAAGTTCAAAAGTGATCTCCAATTATACACTGTTTTTTCTATGGGGATATAAAAAAAAGTAAGATCATTTGATTCTTGATGAATGAAACGTTAAAGCTGCAAAATCTGAATTACTGAAAACTTGCAAAAACAGTTTTTGCTGGAGATTCTGCAGCCCTGTGAATTTCATACAAACTTCCTGTTGTATAAAATTTCAAGCCGGTGTAAATCTGTAACGGAGCTTAGTGTTGCACAGCTCAGTACTTTTGGATAGTGTCCTTGGACAACAAAAGAAAAGCCTGACGATGTAATATCGGTTGTATAATTGCAGTAAATTACTCCAGTTTCTAAAAACTGTTTACAAATTACAAATTACGAGGCAATTATGAACTATATTTTTGTTCGGTGTGTGGTGATAAGACCATATCAGTGGTGCGATTAGACCCAGTGCAGAGTAACATTTCGCCTCCCTTTTACTTCTGCAAATACAGTTGTTGACGTATTTTAGTAAATCTGCAAATGTTCGCTGATAATACAGAAAACTGGAGTGCAACTGATATGTGGAATTAATTTAGAGAAACACATTTTTATAACTTAGTCCTGCGATTTCGCTTCTCTCCAATTCCCCGTCTTTACATAAAAGTGAAGTTGAACCATGGTGACAATGTTTAATATTTATTAGTATCAGGAGAAAAGTCTGTGGGATCATTTTAGCTGGTAGGTATTCGAGACTCAGTGTGAAGTGAATATTTTACCAAACTTGCCCAGTGTGAATTTCTTCCGTTTTGTATCTTTGCACACGCACAATTGAGCTCGAGTTAGCCTGTGACTAAACTTACTAATTTCTTTGGCTTTAAGTTCAACTTTATTTTTATGGAATATTTTAGACTAACCCGGTGGTTCTTAGAGTTGGGAATCACCATACATCCCACGATACGATATTATTGCAATTTTTAAAAA